CTTATATATTTTATTCATTATATTTACATATTTTTGTCGTAAAAAATATAAAATAAAATAAAAAAATTCCTAATAGATATCAATAATTGCGAATGCATTCATAACAATTTTTAAAGTAAAAACCTCGCAACTTAAATTGAATAAAAATTGATTTTTAGCTGGAACATAAAAACTAATATAAAAAATTACTTTAGTTGATTGTTTTTACTTTTTATCCATTGAAAAAAAATTATTAATTAAAAATAGTAATAAAGAATTTTATCTTTTTTTACAAATGTTGGAAGTGTCAAATGAAGGATTTTCAATATTTTTCAATATGCTATTAACTTACTAAATTTACGAGTTCAGGAAAAAAATATAACACACTTTCATAAATCTCAAAAAAAAAAAAAAAAAGTTAATCTTTTAAAAAAACGAACATTTGAAGAAAATCAATAATATAAGTAGTTATTTAAAATAATATACATGGTGAAATTCGTTATTTCAATTAAAGATTTTTTTTTTCTCTCAGCTATTCGAAGTAGCATAATTGTAAATTTTACAACAAAATGTGTTTTTATAACCATTATGCAAAATTTAAATTTGTGAAAAATGTTGGCGAAGTGTAATTACACCATATAGTGTGTGTGTGTGTGTGTGTGTATTTGGTGCTTTAGATTAAGGAGATAATAATAATAATAATAATAATAATAATAATAATCAGACATGGTCAAGGAAGAAATATAATTGAGATACTTTGTTCAATATCATTTCCACTTATCAAATAATTTTTGCGTCAGCATTATTACTTATTCTATAGCAAAGACCTTCAGGCAAAAATTAGTTTTCTAGATGGTAGGACAGTTAATTATTTGCTTATTTTAAATGTGAAAACTTAAACAATGAAATAAAAGAATATTCTCTTTTGTAATCAACCTTTCAACATCGCGTTATAGATGATACGTGTGAATGAGTTCTAATAAGCTTGACTTGTAGTTAAAATTCAGAAATGACATTCCCCATCAATAAAGTAAGGGAAAGTTGAAGCAGCGGACCCTAACTTTTTCGATTTTTTATATATATATATTTTTTTTTGTAGACTTTATTTTAACTTTCATTTTGTTCCAACGAAAGTTCCTAACATTTCATAAATATGCAGTTGAGGTCCATCTAGATGAAAACCGTCTAAAACACCTTCAGTTGGTCGGAAAAATTCTATGAATTATTTGCTATCGTGATGATTTTATTAGATGTTGATACCTTTTTAGACGGTACTTTTGGATGGTGTTTTGAATGGTTTATTGAATATTGATTCCTTAATTTTCCCTATCAACTGACAGTGTTTTGGACGATTTCAGTTCAAATGGATATCAGGTGCATATTTAAGAAATGTTAGGAACCCCCGTTAGCACAAAATAAAGATTAATATAAAATCTATAAAAAATGAAAAAGTTAGGGATCGCTATTGCAATTTTCCCATAAACTAATATCAAAATAAGGATATATTTGTTAGGACTTCTGCATTTGTAGAAGAGTTTCCAACTTCCTCTAAAAACTCTTTTAATCAACAAAACATTTCAAAAAAAAAATTATTCAAATAAATTCAAAAGTCAATTCTTATTCTCAAAAGTAACTTTTTACTTTTCAAAAATCTTGCTAAATGGTTCTAACGTTCCTTAATAATAAGTTATGAATGAAAAAAGACCGATTAGTTTACACAATGTCAAAAAATTCAAAAGCAGATTTCGACGTGTGACATATCAATAATAATGAACTAAGTCTTTAATCAATATATTTTTCTACTCGATTAGATCGTAAAGGACTTTGTACGTGGTATATGAGAAATAAGACCCACTTAATTAAAATTGAATTGTAACTTAAATTAATTAAGGAAACAAAGTGAAATGGGTCCCAATAAAATTCAAGATTTTATACGTACACGTCTTATGGGAAGAGCTATAAAGTCATTAGAAAAGATAAAAGAGAGCCGACGAGCAAAAACAAAAACATCACTAACAATTGGACAAAGAATTATAAATTATTATTATAATTAAACCATTATCAACAGTATTTATTGTGGTAGTGACTGCTGTGACAATTATATCAGTTTTGGAAAATTACTTGCCGTACAACTTAATTAATAATGCTAGCAAAAGAATGATTCTTTGTTTTCGATTTTAAATCCTACAAGTCTACGAATCATAAGAAGTAATAAAGTTAATCTAAGAGTCCAAATTATCGTTCTTAAGAGGATCATAATATAACCGTTAGTTCAATTATTTTAACTTTACTTCGATTGAGGGCTAATAGAACGTGTTTATTTTATTTTTATGATTTTTTATTATAGTTCTACAAAAATAATAAAATTGAATTTTTATTTGATGGTTTAAGTATTAGAATTTACGAACTCACCATAGCATCTCCTTATTCTCAATCATCAATTTTTATAACAATTGATTATGCATACATGGTTGAATTCTTTTAACATATTAAATTTATCTCTCTTGAATTCAAATTGATTTTATTTAACTAAGTCGATTCCATATCTCTATATGAATTCAGATACATCTTAGTTAAACCCTTAAATTTTTAAGAATTCATGTAACGATCGTACCAATTAGAAAACGTATCTCTACACTTTTATACTAATTATCGACTTTTACTATATGATCTAAAAAAATAATCTCGCTCTCGACATAATTATCGCTATCAAAATCAATGAATTAGTATCCAATTAATTCAAGCATTACAAATATAAGTAAAAATAATTAACAATATCAATTTGAAATTTAAAATTAAGATTCAAAACTAGGTTGGAATAATTCATCCTAACTAATTATTTAATTACCCATCACGAGAGAAGAATAAAACTAGAAAGATTAAAGTACATCGCCGAATTTTAAGGAACAAAAGGGGAAAAAAATGAAAATCTTACATCAAGATTCCGCATTTTTCTTGTAGAATCTTGAAATCCTAAATTCTTAATTAATGTTTTTTATTCTTTCTTCCTTTTGAGCTTGCATAATATGTGTACAATGAATCCCCAAAATCTTGGCTTGAATATATGAATATAATAAAACTCTATAAATCCCTTTTAATTGTTGTACCGTGACATATTTATAGAACAAGATTTAGCGAAAGTCTTTGTTTAACTTGATTTTTACGAAGAGTTTGAGAAATAAAAGGAAGCAATTCATTTTCCAATTGGACTCCTTTTTTCATCACTTTAGTCCTTCATCTTCTAATATTTGTAATTAAGTCATCTTCATTTCAAAATCATTGATAATTGAGCTGATGCAACTTTGGGATTTTTGAAATTTACTCTCAAATTTTTCAAAGGTCGAATTTAACTCTAGAAACTTATGAATTTGTATCGAATACTCCATTAATACTTCCAATCAATTGATCACTTGCAATTAAGTTAACCTTCAATTGCTTGAAATCATCTCTAATTATGTTATAAATAATCGTTTTCACACCAATTGTATCCAAGTTGGGATTTTTTCTATAATTTACATAAATTAAGTATATAATCGCTCAATTTACATATAAATAAATAAGAATAGAAGCATAGATAAGAGCTTAAATGCACTTATATTGCTTCTAAAAAAGGTTGCTACAAAGTTAAGGTCAAAGTCAATAATTAATGTTAATTACACATTTTATGAAATTCAGAAAATTTATCAACTTTTGAACTACACATTTTATCAATTTTTTTTCCAAAATTCCGTTAAATTTTTTATCAAAAGTTTTATTAAACAAAGTTTAGTCAATCATGCTACCCAAACAGCCTCAATGAAAAGGTTAAAAAATGGGGGGACATTTTGCCCAATTTCATTGGACAGTTTGGGAAAAAATTTATTCACACAGGTGCAGACAACTCAACACCTATTTGCAGTCCCTGTTTGAGCAGCATTATTGAAGTTTAATCACAACGTGTGGTACAAGTGTGACGATTTTGCCTACATGGACGTCTGCGATTAAGAATTTTAATTATGCTTTTTAGCCCTAGCTGTTACCCAATTCCCTCTGCTTATTTAATAAGCAAAATCTTTTAGAGTCAACCAAATCATCAAAGATTATGAAATATGCCTACCCTTCCTCTTCCTAGAGGTCAAACTATTAATTAACCAATTATTCCATTTTTTTCTAACTATATTTTATAATAAAAAAAATTATTTTCAAACATTATTTTGGAATAATATTTTTCACAATTTTAATGTCCATGTTTTGGGGACAAATTAATAATCAAAAGTAATATTTTATCGACATTAAAAAAATAAAATGTTAAACTAATCAATGAAGCCATCACTATTAGCATGTTTATTATAATAAATGAAGTTCAGTAATCAATTATTTATGAAATAATTGAATTTTATAAGTTCAAATTATTGGGAGATTGAAATTATTTCTGTCCAATGGGATCTAACCTAATTAATTAAAAATTCCTTGGCATTATCAGTAATTAGCTTCTAAAAAACAACACAAATGACAAAATTAATACCATAAACCACAAATTGCCTGAGAACTCTCACTTCTATTCAGAGAATGTTCTAACATGAGAGATGGCTACCGTCTTAACATCTAATGACTGTCATCTTCAAATTTATAGTATTCTGAGTGCGTTATTTACGCGATAAAAGTGCGCTAACAACGACGGAGTATTTAGTCGACGACATTATTACTTGAAAAAGATGAAATTTACTTACTAATGAAGCCTTAATGAGATTTTATGGGAGACAACTTCAAGATCACTTTAAACACTAAGAATAAAACTAGGATTTTATGCTGTCTCTAACTTTTTTTAAATTAACCAAGTATTTAGTCTAATTAACTAGGGTTAATTATAGAATTATAAGTTACCTAGTCAATAGGGATTAAAACATTTAAGTAAAATTTCTTTACTATGCTTGAAAATGATTGCTTTCATCAATGATGCTAGCACAATTAAAAAATATTATGAAATATATAAATTAAAAGGCATACTTAATATACTGATAGTATCATTTAAAGGAAGAAAATAGTGTTATCAAGGAAGAAAAGGAAGGAGCTAAAGCACTTTCCTTGGTCCATATCATGTCTACTCAATACCCCATTCTCATGATTTGATTTCCACTTAAATTTTGCTCATTTTCAATTATATCTTCTCCATCAAGAAGAATTCACCAGAGGGAAAACAAAAATCCAAGGGACGATGTCGTCGAATGATCAGGGAGAAGGATCTTCATCAAGATCAGTTTCTGCATCTGCTGATAACCATCATCCACATCAGCAGCAGCAGCAGCAACAACAACCAGCTCAATTGAGTCGATATGAATCCCAAAAACGTCGTGACTGGAACACTTTTGGACAGTATTTAAGGAATCAGAGGCCTCCTGTGGCTTTACCCCAGTGTAGTTATAATCATGTACTAGATTTCCTTCGATACCTCGACCAATTCGGGAAAACTAAGGTACATGTACAAGGTTGTGTCTTTTTTGGACAGGTTGAGCCCGCAGGGCCTTGTACTTGTCCCCTTAGGCAAGCATGGGGTAGCCTCGATGCCCTTATCGGACGTCTCCGGGCTGCTTACGAAGAGAACGGAGGCCTACCAGAGACTAATCCTTTCGCTAGTGGCACTATACGCGTTTATCTACGCGAAGTAAGGGACTCCCAGGCGAAGGCGCGGGGAATCCCGTACAAAAAGAAGAAGAAGAAGAAGAGGAATCAAATGAAGGGCACCATTAATGAAGGCACATCCTCCAGCATTCAGATGTAATACTCCCTTCTATATTGCTTTTTGAAGAATGGTGATTGATTAAATTTCCATATTTTGCTGCTTTTATCTTGAATTTCTACCTCATAAATGTAGTAATATTTACTTTTCATGAAGAGATATATATATATATGTGGATCAAAATGTTTGATATATTTACTCTTTTTCTCGTGTTAATTAGATATATCATGGATCATTATTTGAAATCAAAATCCCCAAACAAATAGAAGAATTTATTCAATAATCCAACTGTGGGTATCTTATATCTTCTGTTGAACCCTAATTTAGTCCTCTTAAACCCTAATTTTCATACTCTCTTCCAAGTAAGTACAGAAACTCAATATATTTAAGGTTATGGCATATTACGCCACGCGCACGCACTCGCACTCTTTCTTCAAGAAATTGTGCAATGATAGATTTTTATATTTATTTTTTGAATTTAATATTTCTTAGATATATATATCTATAATGTTTACCTTTTGTCCAATGTTTTATCTTTTGGGATTATCTTCTGTTGAACCCTAATTTAGTCCTCTTAAACCCTAATTTTCATACTCTCTTCCAAGTAAGTACAGAAACTCAATATATTGAAGGTTATGGCATATTACGCCACGCGCACGCACTCGCACTCTTTCTTCAAGAAATTATGCAATGATAGATTTTTATATTTATTTTTTGAATTTAATATTTCTTAGATATATATATAAATATTTATAATGTTAACCTTTTGTCCAATGTTTTATCTTCTGGGATTCTGCACCATCTTGTGCTTAATGTCCTCTAGTTGCTTATTTTTTCTGTGATTCAGTATTTAAAAATGCTCCTTTGTCTCTTCCACAATATGAGGAAATTCTGTTTTCACATCCATCAAATAGCACTGCCTTATAGAATTAGGCCCTTCTTAATTAGTTGATTTAATCACATGACAGTATATATATATATTGCTGAATCATTAAATACATGAGACTTATCATTAACTTATTTATTAATTAAATGTCGTGTCATGTTACCAGTGCTTAACATAAGTTAGGCACCGATACTTAGAAGATCATTTTCGTATATATATATATATACACTAAAACTAGATTAGTAATATTGGGATATTATGACTTGTCTTGCTGGAAACTATTGATCATATGAGAAAAAGTACAAAATATAACCCTATTATTACCATAGACAATGTTATCTTTTACCTTAAATCTTTGTTCTATTCAAATTTTTTACCTGAAATCTCATTTCAAATCTGCACAGGGATATATACTTGCATACATATTTCTAAAATTATGTGCATATATTTTCATCTTTTTTACAATTTCTTGTGCTTGTATACATATAATTGGAGCCAAACTAGTAGAGGATCTCAATTTATATAGGTTAGCATGCATATATCTAAAAGGGCAGGTGGATGGACCCTTGGGTTTAATTAGTTAGAATTAGAATTATTAACATATCATTTTCATGGGATTAGTGTTTTTTTTTTTTTTTTTATGTTTTTAAAAATTATTTTTTTATTTGCGTTTTTGCTGTACAAAATTTATATATTCTATTTGAAAAATGCATCTCTTATTCCCATGATCTCATGTAAATTAGCACCTTTGTATTGAAAAACATGCCATAAAACTCCATCTTATATATATCAAGCCACATTTTTTTATCATTACAAAAGTAATTAGTATATTTTACTAAAATTACTCCAAAAAATTAGTTCGGCAACAAAACCACGCATACTTACATATTAGTCATATAATTAGTCGATTATGTTGTTTTTGCGAAATGGCATTATTCGATCAATGGTCATAATTTAGTTCTATATTGTAATTTTATTTCAAATTTGGTGTGTTATTTTCTTCAGTATGTGTGTGTATATATATCTTTCTTAATTATATTTATGATTTTATTTTAGATTTTTGTTATCTAAAAATTCAATAATATCATGCCCATGCTTGGTACCACCACTTAGGACCATTGGATTCCTTGTTGGCCACATCAAATTATGATATGATTTGATTGTATCTGCATTTCCATTGACAAATTAAGGAAAACTTTTCTTCAACTTAAAGAGAAACACCAAGTTTATTTCTTTCATTTAATCTTGGCATTTAATGTATTCAAGAAAAGGATAATATTATTAGGAGATCACAAATAAATGAGATACCTCTCTCTCTCTCTCTCTCTCTCCCCCCCAACACCTTAGGTCGAGTCGACATGCATGTTTGCTAACAAACATGTCACATATTTTTTTCTTTCTTAATCTTGTATAGTTATCTTTAATCGAAACGTAACCTATATATGATGAGGGTTCACAAAAAGATTTAGGATCTTATGCCTTCCCATAGTTTTGAATACAATGTAGTAGAATTAGATTAACTTGTACTCAACATATATAAAATATGTTAAGATCAACGTTATTTAAATGTGCAGTTGTACCAAACTCAATAAAATTATCAAATATCGACCAAAATGATCATCAAAGAAACCCACTCAATCTCATGACAAGCATAATTTTACCTTAAAAGATCTCTCAATTATGTTGAACAATTAATCAATAAGATTAATGTGGGGTCTCATTCATCTATCTTCGGCAATTAGTCACAAACCAAAAATTTCTTTGTATCCAAATTGCATGATCTAATAATACACGTTTAGCTGTTTCTCACTAAAATGTTTTGACATTTCGGCACGTTTGCACATGTTAGTCGTAGTCATTATGTTTTTTTAGTGTGGTTTAATTCGATGCAACTCATTTTGTCTTTTCTATTTCTTCGTTTCATCGATATTTAACGTTGGAAACTTTTCTCGAATTACAAGTCCAATAAAATTTGTTTTCCCTTTTAATTTGAGAAGAAAGAAATAAGCATTGAGTATTATTTTACCAATTGTTGAAACAAAAACTGCTGCTATCTATTCAAAGGAGGCTAAAAAACTATATATTTATAATTCTCAAACCCCAAACAATAATAAATAAATAATAGATCCAATAGCTGGTGCATATTAATATCGAAACATTAACATTATGGAGACCCCACTTTGGCATTCATTTTTAATTTGTAGATTCTTTCAACTTTCCTATTTCTAATCATAGACTTCATAATGAGTCTCCAATTTAGCAGCTGGAATCCCCACCTCACCCCACCCCGTCTGTATACGTATAAAGATAAATGAATAAATTTTTTTCTCGATAACCTCATATCAATCAATTGAATATTTAATAATATTATCGTACACTACTTGCAAATGACTTTTTCTGTTAAAAAAAAAAATGTTTTCTAACAATTATGCATGTGTATTCAAGAAAGTTGAAGATCAAATGATGTAAATATTGGAAAACAAAACTATAGTGGAAAATTAATTCCTAACAACATTATTATGGTAGCTAGATATCTAGGTTTTGAAGGGACACGAACCTAGTCACACTTTTTGTCTCATTCTTGATGGTGTGCCTATCATCAGCTTTTCTTCTGCTGCTAATATGCCAACAAAAGGTTAACCTGTGATACTAACTTTATCTTTTGTGTACCAACCTGGGATAAAGTTGAGTCCTTCATTTGGAATGTAACAACACTACAAAAGAATACTAGTTAAGTAAATCCTTGTTTTACAAAAATAAATAAATAAATAAAATTAGTATATATATTGATTGTTTGAATTACTAATATTCTCTGGGCTTTGAATGGAGATCGATTTAGATTTATTCTTTTATTGTCTTGCAAGGTTTTCTAGTTGTTCTCGAGTTTTTCCGATTTTTGCTTTGACCTTAAACGCCGATAATCCACAATGACTACGATGATATTCATAAATGTGAATCGAATTTAAAAGAGTTCAAATTCAAAGATCAAGCTCCTTTTTATCATTCGGTTGTTACCACCTTCCCGTAGTGCAGCTGTCTTAACGTCCTCATTTCTTCCATTTACATGTTTACCAACATTTTCTTTAATAGATTCAAACCTCACTATGATTAAATTTTCCTAATTGAAAGGGAAATCTTAATCATCAATAAACTAGTACACAGAAAAGGTAATCAAACTATCAATGATGTATTTTGTGCACCCATTAGCAAATTAGAACTGAATTGAATAAACCAATTAGCTAATACAAAGAATATAGTTCTCAAGGTTTTCATCCGAGAATGTAAACAACCTCATGGCTTTGACAGGGCTAAATATTAACTAAACTACAATGCTGCAGAATCTGCTTAGTTAACTGGAGATTTCTAACTATTTGTACAACAAAACTTTCAATTCTGTTTTACGAAGTTTCAGGTTTCAAGCCACCAAATTGGATGCCCCAACCAGGTTACAATCGATTTGTGCATCGTACTTCAAGCTTCTTGCAANCCCCCCCCCCCCCCCCCCCACCTTTTCGCCACTACATATGCACATTTGGGTGGGACCCTGCTACCGAATAAGAATTGAATATTAAAATAAATGTCATATTATTATATTAGAACTTTCTTCAGTTTCTTCTGGTTCATTGACAGGGGCCTTGCTATAATGTTAACTGCCACAAATAATGAACACCAGAAAAGACATAAGAATGACTGACAAACCTTTTAATTTCATCCTCCAAGGCAGTAAGAGGAGAAAATAGGTAAGCAGGGTCGACATTTCCTTGGATACTGATATCACTTCCCAGGCGCTTCCTTCCATCTGCCATATCCACTGTCCAGTCAAGCCCAATCACGTCAACTCCAGTTCCCTTCATCCGTTCAAGTAGTCCACCATTTCCATTAATGTAGAGCACAATTGGCGTTTGAGGACACTTCTTTTTAACCACACTTACTATCTGCACTCACAAACTAGGAGGTGTTCAAAAAGGAAAAGATGGAACTTCTAGATTGCATTCCACAACAGATAAAGATAACAGCCTTCACACCAAACGTCCTCCAGCTATATTTAAATGTCCCATCGGAAACCAGATAGTTTCAAAAAAACAAAAAATATATAACAAAGAAGATGACAATGACAATGACAATGACAATGATGGCAACAGCATAGAACTTCTCACTTCGAGGTATCCCTCGTTTTAAGATTCTACAGACATCCTATATCGAGCAACTAATCTGTAACTCTTTTATCTGGCCTGTTGATTCAGTAAAACTTAGCAGACCTTAGAATCTAACCCACGTTTTTTGAGTGAAAAACACAGCAATTCTTCATAAGACTAAACAGCAAGAAGAATGAAGCATACAAATCTTCATGTGTGCAAGTGATTAAATACAAACAACAAACCAGTATAATCCAAGCTTCTCATATTTAGAGCAACAAGCAACTTATGGCCAGAGCTCAACAGGACATTGGACTTTCCCATTGAGCTCCCCAATTCCACCAACTGCCCACCAGGGTTTTCCAAAGCATTGAGGAAAAGGGAGAAGCACAAAAACTCAAACACAGGGTTGGGACAGAAAATATTTACCCAGAAAAACAAAGTAAAGTAAATCTGAGTCACCTCATCAATGTAAGGCTTAGACCAGCGTTCCCACATATCTGGTGGCAATTGTCCACCCCATGAATCGAAAATTTGTATGCAATGAGCTCCAGCATCCACTTGGAAAATGATATATTCAGCTATAGCCTTTGCCAAATGAGACAGAAGAGCCCTTAATACATGTGGTGCCGTATGGCACATGCTCTTTATTGTTGTATACGTGCGTGTTGTTCCCCCCTCTACTATGTATGTAGCTATCGTCCACGGAGCTCCCACGAAACCTAGAACTGCTGCTTGTTTACCGACCTTACATAGAATTAAAAAAGTTGTTCAAATATATAAGTGAAATTTTACACTGCTAGTATGCACAGACACCCTCCCAGCACCAGGTAAGTCAGTGTCAGACCCATGTTGGAAGCACCAGGTGCGGTGTCCAAATTATTTTTCAGTTTTCTATGTTTTGACACGTGGCTGACACATTTCTGACAAGTCAAGAAATACATTGCCGCCACACCGGGATGTTGTTGATACATTAACAAGATGCCAAAGTTTACAAAAATAAAATTACTTCACAATATAAGGCATAAAAATTGAAAAAATTAATATTATTTGAATCAGTGTACCGGGGATGTGTCGTATCGTTAATAGTTTGAAAATTTTCATGTTGGCGTGTCCGTGAATGCTGTATCCAACACTCGTGTTTGTGTTGGTGCTACCTAGCTACACTGTGTTAAAGAAAACTAGTGTGAAGCTATTAGCATGAATTATCTTTTAAAAAGCAGGTGGTAAGAACTATGGAAGTACCTCTTTCCTCAATATCCTAAGAGATTCTCCAACAAATTGTAGTTTCTCAAAGTCAATTGGGTGCAAAGTTTTCAAGTCCTCCTCAGAGCGAATAGGAGACTGAATTACTGGACCACGCACCTCTTCTATGTCAAACGGCACGCCAAAAGCAGGTAGTGGAGTAAGTATATCAGAGAAAATAATAACTCCATCAGGTCGGAAAGCTTCCCAAGGCTGCAAAGAAATTTCCACAATAAGATCGGTTGTCTCTGACCTCTCCCGGAAGGATGGGTATTTCTCTGCAAGCTTTCTATAAACAGCCATATACCTTCCTGCTTGACGCATCATCCAGGCAGGAGGTCGGTTAACTCGATCACCTCTTGCAGCCTTGACCAAAAGTGGATCTAAACTCCACAAAATGCATATGAGTAGATGAAATGAGAAACCTTCAACTCTGGAAAGCAAACTTGATCTCCAAAATTGTAAATCATTCAGTTGGTAACAACTAAAATGCTAGATCAACTTAAATGCCAGATGAGAAAAGGTTCAAACGAAGACAGCATCAAGTCAACCAGATTTCAGAAAGCCCTACCCCAATTTTCTTTTATTACAAGCGGCGAAGAATCTTCTTAGTTGATTTTTGAAACTCATTTTAATCAATTAAATAATCCATGCAAACAAGAATATCATCCTTAACTTGATCTCTATTCAATGTTGATCAGCTTTGCACTGGATGCATACACTAAATCAGTCTCAGTGTGATGAGAAATGAAATTCATCAATGACGTGTTTTTCAGTTCAGCCTCTAAAGTTATCAGCCTATCTCACATAATTTTTAATAATTGAGGTTCAACTATTATGCCCAAAAATCAACAAGAGAAATTTTCTATCATGATAGCTTAAAATGATGTTGTACAGAACCCTGAAACGGCACTTATCAAAGACCGTGATAAAAGCAAAATTAACTCACAAGAAAAAGAAATGTGAAGAGCAGTGATTAAAGAAACGATATTAATGAATGGACAAGGTGATTTAGTGATAAAAAGTTCCCTTTTCCTACTCTGTAAATCTTACATATCATGACCAGTATACAGTCAACTCAACAAGGCCTGATTCCATATGTATCTAGATCTAGGGTAGAGTATATACTGATCATTTTCTTACGGGTTATTCCATCAGATTCATTTCTATAAGTAAAAGGGGAGACTTTTTTATTCTATTATTAAATGAAATTTCTCAAAAGCAATTATAGTAGAAGTTATCACTATTCTTTACAACCAGTTACTTCCCCCCACAAATGATTCAACATGTTGGATTTTATGCGCAATATTAAAGAGATGAAAAAAGAAAATCAACACAAGAATTTACGTGGTTCGATGGTGTGCCTACATCCACGAGAGCGAAGCGGAGATTTCTTTATTCAGTAGTGAAAAATAGGGTTACAACATATTATTTATACTAACCCTAACCTGGGCCCATATAAGACTTTAAGGCCCGTATAGAAAATACCCCAATACCGTACCGACATCGGCCCATTTGATCCAGGACCTATGTTCCACTCTATATAAGTCACATGCACAACACAACACATCTTACGAAAAAAGAAAAAAGCAAGCACCTAAAATTTCTAAATTTTCCCTCGTGATTACTAGGAGCCCTAAAGTCAGAATTAACATAGGGATTTTTATTTTTTTTTCAAAGGCCCTTTTCAAGGGTTAAAAAGGCCTTTTATTTATTTATTGTTAAAAGAGGTCTGTTTGTTACTTAATGAAGTGCAAAATGTGAATTATACCCTTATTAAAGAATGCCTAATCGACAACTCATCCATCTACATAACCAGGTCGAGTTGACGTGATGTTGTGCTTCTCTCCCTCGTCATTCTTATTGTCTATGTATACACATAAAAACTCGTAAATCCAAGCATATGAGCAAAAGGGAAAAAAAAGTAAAAGAGAAGTGCAAGAAACAACAGTGAACATGTTACTTTCAATTCTATCTTCCCTTGCAACGATGGAAAGTTTACACAATAATACTGTTGTAATTCAAGGATTGATTCTAGGATAGTTTAATTACTTTCCTTATTTTAGAGATTTGGGTAGCCTATTATTCAGTCAATTTTTCTTTATTTTATTCCCTGATTTTGTGAGAGATTATCTCCCATAATCATAGGATTTTATTGTGCTTTATTACAGCAGATTTGTCTCTGCATTTGGATATATAGATATGTATCTTTTTCAATTGAAGAACAAGAGAAATAAAAAAATAAAAAAACTCTCTACAAAAGTTTCATGGTATCAGAGCAGGATTATTTCTGCCTCTTCACTGGAATTCAATTTTCTTGAATCCCTCTTCTTTATACCCAAATACGGCCCAGCCTTTGGAATGGCTACCGAGAAAGTCACAGTTTCAAATGGCTATGGAAGCATGGACAACTCTCATCTTCCCATTACAGGGCACAAACTGAATGGGAAAAATTATTTAGAGTGGTCACAATCCATTATCATGTTTATCTGCGGGAAAGGAAAAGATGAATATCTTACTAGCACTACCAAATCTCCAGCAATCAACGATCCAAAATTCAAAAGTTGGAAGGCAGAAAATAATATGGTGATGTCTTGGCTCATCAATTCAATGAACAACGATGTTGGAGAAAATTTCCTTCTCTATGAGACTACTTCGGAAATTTGGAATACTGCAAAAGAAACATATTCACACATTGAGAATACTGATAAATTATTTGAGATTGAAGGTGTCCTTCACGACTTGCGTCAAGGAGATAAGCCAGTCACCCAATACTTCAATCTTCTCACTTGTCATTGGCAGCAGTTGGATATGTATGAATTAAACGAGTGGAAGTCTCCTGAAGATGCCGCAAAATACAAGAAAATTGTGGAGAAGAAAAGAATATATAAATTTCTTCTAAGGCTCAACAAAAATCTAGATGAGGTTCGTGGAAGAATCTTGGCAACAAAGCCTCTTCCTAATATCCGTGAAGCCTTTTCTGAAGTTCGTCGAGAGGAAAGCAAGAAGAAACTTATGCTTGGGTCTTTTACACATCAATTTGATATTGAAAGATTAGCTTTGGTAGCCCGTGGATCATACCCTCAACCATCTGACAATCGTCAAAAGAAGGGAAGACTATGGTGTGAACATTGCAAAAACCTGGCCACGATAAAGAAACATGCTAGGACATTCATGGTAAGCCGGTTAATTGGAAGCCATCTCGTACCAAATTTGAAAGGAAAGAAAGAGCAAATCAAGTCTCAGTTGAAGATGCTCCTGTTTTAGAACCACAACTATTCAGCAAAGAAAAAATTGATTTTATGCAAAAATAGTTCAGTCAGCCACATCAGCCAGCCAACACAAATATTAGGACATGTTCTTTGGCACAAAAAGGTAATTTTTTTAGTGCTTTAAAGGTTAATACAGAAGAAAATAAACTTTGGATAGTGGATTCCGGAGCCTCAGACCACATGACAAGAGATTCTTCAATCTTAATAAACTATAAACCTTGTTCTGGTAATCTTACAGTTCGAATAGCTGATGGTTCCCTTTCCAAAGTTTCTGGTACAGGTTCTGTAGTTATCTCTAAGGATTTGATACTTGATTGTGTACTTTTGGTCCCTAATCTGGATTGTAACCTGCTATCAGTTAGTAAACTCATTCAAGAGAAAAATTGTGTGGCTAAATTTTACTCAAATAATTGTGTTTTTCAGGATTTGGATTCGGGGAAGACGATTGGCAATGCTAGAGTGTGTTCAGGGCTCTATGTCATCAAGACTTTCAATTTGCCTGAACAACAACATCAAATGATAGGATTTGAAAAAAGTGTTTTATCTATTTCTAGTTTAAATAACGATAGTGCTCTTATGTTATGTCATTATCGACTTGGTCATCCTAATTTTTTGTACCTCAAGAAACATTTTCCATCATTATTCAATAAAGAGCCTAATGTTTATCGGTGTGAAATCTGTCAACTAGCCCAACAAGTTCGTAATTCTTATCCTGTCAAACAATATAAATCCTCAAAGCCATTTTCTATGATTCATAGCGATGTTTGGGGAGCTTCTAGAATAAAAAATGAGACTGGATCAAGATGATTTGTTTTATTTGCTGATGATCACACTAGACTTACTTGGGTATTTCTTATGAAGGAAAAATTGGAGGTTACTCAAATTTTCAAAAATTTCTACACTATGACTCAAACCCAATTTGAAGCTAAGATACATGTCCTAAAGACAGACAATGCCAAAGATTACTTCAACTCAATTTTGGGGAATTTTCTGAAAAGAGAGGGAATTGTTCATCAAAGCTCATGCATAGATATCCCCCAACAAAATGGAATCGACGAGAGAAAAAACAAACACCTATTAGAAGTTGCTAGATCTCCCATACATGTCCTAAAGACAGACAATGCCAAAGATTACTTCAACTCAATTTTGGGGAATTTTCTGAAAAGAGAGGGAATTGTTCATCAAAGCTCATGCATAGATATCCCCCAACAAAATGGAATCGACGAGAGAAAAAACAAACACCTATTAGAAGTTGCTAGATCTCCCATGTTTTCTACCAATGTGCCAAAATATTTTTGGGGAGAAGCAGTACTCACTGCAGCTTATCTCATTAATAGAATGCCCTCCCGTGTCCTTCACTTCCGAAGTCCCATGCAAGTCCTTCTGAAAACTTATCCCAACAACAGACTTTTCTCAAATATTCCACCAAAGATTTTCGGCTGTTCAGTGTTTGTCCATATCCATTCTCAACACCAAAGTAAATTGGATCCCAAAGCTATAAAGTGTGTGTTTCTTGGGTACTCAGTCAATCAAAAGGGTTACAAATGTTACTCCCCGGAGACTAGAAAGTTCTACACCTCTATGGATGTCACCTTTTTTGAAAAACAACCATTCTTTCCCAAAACCGATATTCAGGGGGAGAATGTGACAGATGAATATCCTTTTTGGGAAATTGAAAACGACCATAATTCTCATTCAGAATTCAATTCTATTTTTCCAACACAAATATCCATCGACTCTACACATGACCCTTTTCAACATTTCCAACAGTCTCAAGAAAATCCTACCAATAACAATGAGGTCATTGTATATTCCACGAAAAAGAAGAAGAATCAAGAGGACATAGCACCACGAACACAACTCGAACAAACTCATGAAACTGATCTGAATCCAGAAACAAAAGAAAGACAATCGGGTAACCCTAAATCTTCATCCATTCCTAGTGAGAGTCAAGGTGATGATCTGGATGTACCAATTGCAATCAGGAAGAAAGATAGATCTTGTACAAAACATCCTATTTATAATTTCATTTCCTATGATGGCTTGTCACCTGGATTCCATGCTTTACCACTAGTTTGACAGATGTACAAATTCCTAACATCATTCAAGAAGCCCTTCAATCACTTGAATGGAGGACAGCAGTTGAAGAAGAAATCCGAGCAC